GTGTGCATGTTTTCTCAGTCATTTGGAATTTATTTTGTTTGTTATTTGTTGTTATCCCTTCAGGTCATTATCGACAACAACCGTAACATCCGGTGGTGTCCTGGGGCGAATGAATGATGCTACCAAGTATGCCTTAATTCCGAGAATAGAACCAGGGCTTAAGCTACCTTTCCCCGCACAGACCTATCTGCTTGGAAATAATGGCTATGCCAACAGGTACCCTATAATGGCAAAGTATGGAAGTGTTCGGATTCGACGAGCAGCTGACACCGACGACCAGATTGCAAAGCATATCTTCAACGAGGGGAAATGCAAAATGCCGCATTCGTGAAGAACATGTCATTTTTTTATTTCAAGACGTACAGAGTTGTGAAGGGACTGTATCACCATCCTAGATGGCTTAAGCCTATTTTGGCGGACCTGTGTGCATTCTTAGCCCACAGACATATCCGTCTTTCAGAGGAAATGCATTTCCTTAAAATCTATTTATATAAAAATCACTGGGTCAGTTTTTCGGATCTTATTGGTCGAGATCTAACCTGAGAAACTATGTGCATTGAAATCGTTCTTTAAAAGAAACTAGGAGTTATAGAAATAGCCGGCTGAGTTAAATGAGATCATTTAATCTAAAAAGCAAGAGTGCAGTTTCGGCACGATATACTACGGTGTCTAACGTAAAGGATTGGCTCCTGATGCACAGAAACATAAAGCAAGGCTTTGACTAAAAGGTCACATCGTAGTTTCCTCAGTAGTGATGATCTACTGCTGTATTTTAGTTTAAAATCTACAATAGCAGTTTTTATATTTACGCCCTAAAGAGTGATTTCATTGAAGTCAGAAGGGTAGTTTCCAAGGCTTTGTAAATACTGTAAACATTTCAGCCTTTTCTGATCATCATGTAAAACAGCTAAGAGCTGTTGTCGTATTTCTTTAAAGAACCCAATGTTTGGTAACATTGTGTTATGGGAGTAAAGTAAGGACGAGGTCATAAGAACAAAGTGTGACGTCATGTTTTAGGCCTTTTCACATTGCACTGGCCTGCCTACATGATAAGCGCAATGTGCTCCCCCATCTCAATAATCATAAGGAGATCTTCAGGGTAACTCGCAAGAGGGACATAGAAAAATGTATGCAGGGTATCCCAGAACAATAAAATAAGGTTTTTGAACCATATCGTTGGAAATATAAACTTTTGATTTTTTTTTCTTTTGAAAAAAAGGGTATGAATACCCGGAAATAAATATATGCTAAGCCAATGTGAAACATACGTTTAAGACCGGCTATCACGGATTTATCCACTCAATCTTACTGCTGTTTAATAACCTCTGAAGAAGAAGTTCTTATTTTGGAAATGTCAAGACACACTAAGGCAATACTGCATCCGAAACTAGAGCAAGGTCTAGGTCTTTACTCATTGTAAATGCTTGAGGATACGCGCTGACATTATAGACGAATAGCCGTAGCTCCAGAAGCTCATTTCGGTCACGGCCTCACTTTTTCTTTTGAGTCTTCAAAAGAGGTGCGTTGTCAGTCAATTTGCTATATCTGTTGAAATGTGATAATAAGCCAGTTCGGTATTTCAACAGCGCATACTCAGATTAAAAACGTCCGAGGCCATTCGGAATCAAATGTGCACCTTGGCCAATCAGCGCAGCCATGCGCCTGCTCGCGCGCGTAATATGTTCCAAAATGATCTTGGCATTTTGAAATGCAAACTGGCTTATTGTCGTAACAGCTCTAGGTTTGGCTGAAACGTCAGTAGCATCAGGTTAAAATAACCTTATAGTTCGGGGATAAGAGCTTGCATTATCATAAATGAGTGATCCGTCAGTGGCTTTTATGGTTTTCTTTCACTGGTCAGATGGGGGATTGGGGCTTTATAAAGGAACCGTCAGTGAAGTTTCGCCATTATTTTTGTGACAGCTGAGACTGGCGATTTCTAAGGGTCTTTTATCGTTTTTTATGCAACCGTGTAGGTGAGGGATTAGGGCTTTATAGGTAAACTGTCAGTGACTTTTTGCCACTATTTCTTCAACGGCTTAAGTGCATGCAGTGAAGGCACTTCAACTTCCCAGGTACCTTCGGAAAATCTGGCCGTAGGTACTGCTTCAACGAAATGGCACAAGAGGGAGCAGCCGTTCGAGTTAACGTAGAAGAGAAGCGGCTCATATTCGCCGGTTATCAAGTCCACGGCAACAACTGGGGCCGATTGGTGGACTATGTTTTGCAGAACTGTGAATTGAATGGCCCTATGTATCAGCAATAGATGTTGAGAAATGCATCTCAACAAAGAAGGAGAGCCTGAGATGTGATGTCAAGAGATATAATGCGGTAGGTATTATATTTCATTGATTACGGTGTAAAGGAATGGGCTGGGAAAGCTCTATGCACTGTTATGAAGACTTACGATCACGACTAGTTTATATACTTCCTATAGGTCTAAAGACACGGAATACAAAACATTTATTGGAAGGATGATATGCCTCATCGATTATAAAGCCCATGTGCCAAGAGTATCTTGCAAGAGGCAATAACCCGAGATCCCAATTGAACATTACACGTGCATTTGAAAACATGTTCTTTTACTTTTCTTTCTTTTTTCAGACTACAAGACCGCCGGATACAAGACATGCACTACGCAGCCCGAATGGATCCTGCTCAGTAAGAATGTTAAGGAATTTGGCAGCCCGTGCAAAAAGTCACCAGCCAGAACTGCCTGCGGAACCTTATACGAGCCAGCACCCTGTCCTCGCCAGCCAGGACCCCCTCCACAGCCTCGCCAGCCAGAACCCCCTCCACAGCCTCGCCAGCCAGGACCCCC